GCTAATAAAGATTCTGATTGTGATTATGATTCTGATGTAATGTCCTCAGCATGAGTGGCCAACAGCTGCTTTATTTCTTACTCATTTTTCTCAACGACTGAAAACTCAATTGTAAAAACACAAATGTTGCACATTCCACTTAATGTAAAGGCTGCGGTTCATACATGAGTGTTTTCTGCACTTTCTCGGAAATTGTACTAGGTCTTGTGCAGGTAAATTGCCATGTTAGTCTTACTGGGATTTTGACTCACCTTCACATGTAACCCGTTCCCATTTAGCTATGTTAAATTCCCTTGTAAAAGTGTGAAAGGAGCTTCTGAGATGTACGTGCCAGAAGCTCTAGAATTTATAGCTGAACAAGCACTTTCTCAATTGAATCATTTATTTAACTACTCAGAGCACTGTATATGATTTTGTGGAATAAACACTAAATAATGGAGTATAAAATGTCATGTTTAAAAAGCGTCTAATGCTCTCAGTATGTGGTTAATGTGTGATGTGGCCATAGTGTGCTGAGGCTAAGACGGATGATCTCAGATGGGCTGATGTGTAATCGCTTCATCACAATGCGGGCATGTTGACTCGCTCCGATAACGGCTTGCTCATGTGGGGAGGGCCACTGATCTCTGCTGTCTGTAGTCTAGCAGACCCACTTATTCATGTCATAACATTTCGAGAAGAATAAACTCTCCACTCGGATCCACATCGTGGAATGAATGGTTGTAGGCTGTCACTAACCATGAGAAAAGACACATGGGTATCCGGGTGTCTCAGTATTCTGTGAACAGAAGGAGTGCGGGGAGCACTACTGTTTGTACACATTATGTGATAGGCCTGTACAGTATACAGTCTGATAAGATTGTTTTGTAATTAACAGTTATGAAGGTTCTTATTGATTGCCTCAATTAAGTTTTGAAAGGCATAAACGTCAAGATAAAGCATAACCAGCAATTAGGCCGTCATCATTCTTGTGCTTGCAGGATTAATGTAGAGTTCTGAGATTTCCTGTTCTTGTAGTTCGAGTGACCTACTCTTTTATTTTAATACATCCACTCAGTCTGATGTCAGAAACTGCAATAACATCTAATTAATTCCTGGATCTGATGTGTACACCTGTGCTATGAAACGAATGTAGCCACTGTTTGGTGCAGATTTTTTTAATTTTCTAAGCGATTTTCAGTGCTGAAACTCTGAGAGAAGCTAAACGCTTCTCATTTTTCTTATTTAGTTTTGCTGCTGTGAAGGTTAAGGTCAGAAATATACGATGCGCAGCCAACACATTGAAAATGCACAGTCCCATTATACAAACTCACTGTGCGTTCTTATGTTCCTGTGGTGGTTAAAACATTCAGTACTCAAGGGGACGATAAAAGGCCAATCAGAAAGGGATCTGCTGTTATTCCAACAGCCTCAACACCTGAACATGTGGATGGTAGAGAAGTGTGAGCTGCTTTACCTGTTGTGTCAGAATGAAGAGGTGTTTATGTATCATATGTGTTTACGTGAGCGAACCATGTCTGTTAGAGGCTCGTCCAGCTGCTCGTATGCTACGACAGCTGACTGGTAGAAAGCAGGCTGGCGGTACAAGACAGTTTGTCCAGGCTTGGCTGTTGCTGTTGTGCCCCTTGCTTTAATGTTCACAAGGCAGATTGCTCTTGGTAGCGTTGCCTTGTGTAGAACACAACAACACAGAAAACTGTATTCGTGTAGGACAAAGCATCTGCGTTCACGTACTTGTGTTAAATAGATAGATAGATAGAACTTTATTGATCCCAAAGGGAAATTGCAGTGTTACTGTAGCAAGACATATAATTGCACGTAAACTTACATATTGTAGGCAGAAATAAAATAGGAATAAAAAAAAATGCATATTTACATAGCATATAAGACAGATTTGTTGTATTTACATGAGAGCAGGCATTGCACATATGTGATATGAGGTAGTTACAACACAATGAATATAAGCATAACTTTGAAAATTAATATCAGCAGTGTTTACAAACTAAATTGCGTAGTGAAAGTGTCATTACAGTAGCAGGTTATGATATTGCACAGTGTATTAACAGGAGAGGTGATATAGTGATGTGGTTCAGCACAGTTCAGACAGCAGGAGATCAGTACCATCGCTGCAGTAAGGAGACTCGTAGAGCCTTATAGCATTTGGTAAGAAAGATCTTACATGGTGCTAAGTATGTTTCTAGACTGTGAATACATACTTTCTGATTATGCATTAAGCATCTCTTCCTTAGTAAATTTCTAATAGCAGCTTATTTTGTATGTCTTCCCTATTTTGATGGTACCCATTCTCTTTGTCAAAGGAAGCAAGGGAGACTGGAGCCATCTCATCAAAACCTGTGCTAGAATTTGCCTAGTGATGAGAGTGATCACACCTGTCTTAAAGTTCTGCTTCTTTTGTCTCCAAGAACCATTACACTTTCGCTGATAGATTGGTTTTACGATTTGACACATTTTAATGAAAAAGATGATTTCATATTTCTGAGGCATTTCAAAATTGTGAGGGTTAAAAGGTCTTTTTATGTAGCCCATTCAGTGCTGGGTCTCTTTCTTTATCTCATTTTGATAAAATTGTGACTTATCATTTTTCTGAAATGTGCGTTTTTCAGTGCCAGTGGCAACTTTTTATTCAGTAACAGAGCATGTGAGCGATAACTGTCCTCTGTCTGCATCCTTGACCTCAAAAGAGGCTCACTTCTCAGAATATGGACGAAGCACTTTGACTAAGAGTCAGTCGAGCACAAATGAAGAGGGCCAACTATAAGATTATCATCAAGGTCAGACTATGTATCGACAGCCCTCATTGACTGATAGAGTGCCGTTATTCTGAAGCTCGACCTACCGCAAGCCTGTGGATTCGAAACACTCCAGCTGCTACCATGTTTTTTAAGCCCCATCGAATCCCTCCACCCTGTGCATCATGTTCCATAGGGATAATTTTTGCCTAATGAATGATTTCATTAATTATTTGACTCAGTTATGCATTGATTTAATGCTATAATTACTGCTTCATTGCACTTGTGATAAGAGGTTGGTGGAAATTTGCTGTAATAAGCATAATTTATAACATATGTTCTAGGTAATTTGGTAAGCTCCCACATGATCACTCTTGTGTGGTTTTTGTTGTACCTGAATTTGGTGTATTTACAAGTTGAAATTTAATTGCGGCGTACTGTGCTGATTCACTCTAACCTCAGACTGATCTGTTAATTTAATACTTTACAAGGGGGAAAGGAAAGCTTATAATATTAATTACTAGGCCTCATTTATGACATGTTACTTTATTAGCTTAACCGGGTCATGCATGTAAATTCCTTGTACTGTGAGAATATGTACTCACTTTGAACAGAGTTAGCTTACATTTGGTTTTTGAAGTCATTTTCCATCCTGGCAGCTGTTCTGGTTGGGAGGTGAAGCTTTATACACAGACTTGCTCAGATATATCGCTACAGCAGCTGTGTCTTTGAGGTCTTGCTAGCAGGAGACCTGAGGTCAGAGACGGCTCGGTAGAGATCAGGGTCATTACTGTAGTGTGGGGTTGGGCAAGAGAGGAAATGACAGGTGGCTCGCAAACTAATTGCTATTTGAGGAAGAAGGGCAGCTCACAGAGCCCAGAAAACATGCACACTTTACACACGTTTTATTTTGACACGCTTCTTTGGCGTTAGCCCATCCATCAGCTCTGCACAGAAAACTGTTACAGTCAAACAGTGACTGCTGAACCCTGACCTTAGTGCAAATACGTCTTCGTTTGTGTAATCCATGGGGATCTCTGCTGTGAAATATTGGAGGTGTCAGTGTTCTGGGTGTGCTTACGGTTTGTGTTGGTTGTTTTAGTTTTCAGTGCCTCACATTTGTCTTCTCCGGTTCTTCCTCATTCTTTTTCTCAGGTTTTTCAGATTCTGGTTCTTCAGTTTGAAGTTTCTGATCTCAGACATCACTGGGTGGAAAAAAATGACCACTGTATTCTTAGCTGGTGAAAATGTACTACAGAAGTGCTCCACTTTTATTTATAATTCAGTTTTGTTTTACATTGGCTGAAGTAGTTTCTTAGGAGTTTTTGACTACTTTTACTCAAACTGGCTCATGTCAAAAAAAGTTTCAACCTTTTTTCCAGCTACTGGCCGTTTGTGTTTTGTCCACATATTCCCAAGTTAGTGGCTTTGAAAACAGTACAACAGAGGGCCAGATGTACAAGTGCAGGTAGAGCACAAAAATGTGCCTTGATGGGACCACAAAATACACGCTCAATGCATATGAAATTAACATTCAATTTACCGAGACTGCAGCTTCTCACACAAACTGCTCACTTGTGAGATGCAGGGTTTACAAAATATGGTAAGATACTAGAGCCAAAAAAAACTTCAGACCTGTTTTAAAAGGTGCAGTTAAATCGATGCAAAACCTGACGCCGTGGGTTGCTCAAACTTCAGTAAAACAAATGGAATGTATAATCAGATGCATATTCACCCACTTTTTGCATGATCATCCCATGTTTTTGCGCAGCCCTCCCTCAAAAGCACATGCATGAGAAGGAGAAGCAGGTTTCGCATTTTACCTTGCATATGGCCCATAAACTACATGTTCAGGTTTGAGCGCTAGTTTCATACATAACATATGGGCAGAATGCGTCAAATTTGCACTTGAAACTGGCGCAAGAGGCTCAGTATGTTGGGCCCAAAGTTGTAGGATTGTATTTTGCAAACAATTAGCTATAAATAAAGTGTATTCCACAATGCTTGCCTATTGAAATTTTTGGACCTCTGTGCACCTTTTGTGATGATGAATTAGTCCCTTTTTTCAACACTAAGTTGTCTTATCAAAAAGATGGGGAAAAACATTTTAAGTGTAACTGTATTTAGAAAAGACTGTCCCTGAGCTGTGGAAACCTTATTGAATGTAGTAGACAGTATGGGGGCAGGTTTACTATGTAAAAGGATTGCTTGCTTATTAATAAATTCATTTATTTTCTTTTTCCTTAACAGGGCCACTCCTCAGAGAGAGGAGAAAGCAGGACCAGATTTCTTTTTAACACATGATGTACAAGGACTACCGGTCTGGCCGAGCTGCAGGTGAGTGCTGGTCCAGCGTCTTGTCCTGCAGCAGGGCTGATGTCCCTTCATGGGCTACTGAGTCTTACAGCCTCACAGCAGGGGGGGAGGAGTGTCCACCTTTCACACAGGAAAAAGGGATTTTCTGGCATGATTTCTGCTGCACACCTGATAAGACTGTCGCTGTGCCCATGAGGAGAAGGGCTCTCAATAATAAGAGCCTTGTCGTGTCTCATCTCCAGGCTTTTGGTTCTTCCGTTTCTTCCATTTTATCGGAAGCAGGTGCAAAAAGATTCCCAGTGTCTACGACTCCTCTCTTTTCATTTCTTGATTGTGTTCTCTGAGTGACAGAAAGTTTCAGCTTCAGAGATCACAACATCTCTTTTATCAAGCTTGGAAAGTTGCCACACTTTGACAAGTTTGACAAGTTTGGATGCATTTTGCCAGCCAAGAGTAAAATGCGGGGTTTAGACTGCACAATGACACAAATGGCTCCAACAGTCACACCGATGGACTAAGGGGAAGACATGCACACTCAAAGTGAATCAACTAAGAAAAGATTCCTTGCAGGAAGTTTCGCTCTCATGGGAATTTTTCTATGAGATATGCACAGTTTCTTTCACATCTCTCTTTGACAGTCTAAATTTGAATAGCTTTGAATTATGCTGCAGTCTTCATCTGTTTATTTTCAACCACGGATTTGGCTTTACCAAACAATACATTACATTAGGCTTTAACACAATGTTAAAGCATTATTTCCAGTAATCTATTGTACCGCAGTGCTTCATTGATATGCTGGGTTGAACATGATGAAGTGCGGCCCAGCGCAGGGATCACTGAGGTACAGGAGAGAAGGGCTGAAGGATCAAATCCAGGCAGTGAGGGAGTCTGTGTGGGAATGAAAGTAGTTAATTTTCTGAAAGCTCAGGGAACAAGAAGGCTCTAGGAGATGAGTGTGTCTTTTTCTATTAGACTCACAGTAGGCTGCACAGGCTGCCTGGGTCAAGATGAATTCGGAGGCAGGTGTCTGGCCTGTCATGCTGCTTTGCCCTGCCCACATGTGGCCAGTTTACACTGGGCTGTCCAGAACTGCAGCTGCATGGACCTAGGCTGCCTCATTTACTCGGGAGCCCGCCTCCCATTACCCAGGACCATGACTCATTCGGACAGACTTGGAATTCAGTAGGTGGCTTGACTGACTGTCAGAAGACCCTTCTCCTCTCTCTGGGCTTGGACTCGTACCTTTAATACTAAGATTTCTTTTTTAGGTTAGATATTGCTTTAAACTTGAATAATAGAGAGGCTAAAGGCTATGAAGTTCAGCTTCACACCTGATTAATTGGTTTTGCGTGATAAGTTGCAGAGCTGTTTTCTCCCCATGGGGTGAAGGGTGTTGAACTGTGAACAGGCTCTGCTGGAGCTGTGACTGGCATCGGAATGCTCTGTAATGAGCTCGTGGGCTGGGCGAATAAGTCATCTTAATGAATCCGGGGTGTCTGATTGATGTAATGTATAATAGAAGTGATGCATGAGGCCTGCGGAATGGCCAGCACCAGGCTGCTCTTAGCAGAGATCCATGGTGTGATTCAAGGCCTGCAATTAATATTGGCGGGGTCCTTTCATGTTTGAGACTCAATTTGGTGAGCTGAAACTGAAGTGTCTGTTGTGGCTTTGCTGTTCTGTCTCCCATAAAGCCTGCCTATTTAAAGCTTCTGAAATTGCTGTTTAAAAAAAAGATCTGATTCAGAGTGACAGCATTTAATCTTCCTCTTGAAATATAAAATCGTCTGGCATATATTATATTGGTTTATACTGTAGACTTATGGCCAATATTCCATATGATTCAGAGATTCATCACCAGCTACCCACACTCACAAGCACAGCCAAATGCCAAAATGCATTAAACCGCACGTTTACCCCAAGCACTCTTGAGCATCAGTGGAGCCATTCCCCTTACCGCCTTTTTGGGTAATGGTAGTATGAATTGAAGCACGGTGACCTAGAGCCCTGGTCTGATAAGGTAGCAAATCCTGACATTGTCACAATTTTGGCTGCCGAATGAGGTTAAAATGCTTTCCAGCCCCGTCAGCCACCCAAATCTATCAATATTTATTTGGCAGGTGGGCCCCGGCCCTAATCCAATTGTTAGAATATTGCTCTAGTCTGGTATCCCACCACCCCCTTCCCTCCTCCACAGAGACTTTGTGCTTTACCCATAAAACCACGGCTGTGAAAAACGCACAGTTCTTACGTGCAAGAATTCAAGCCCCCCTGAGCATCGTGTAGTTTAATGTGACCTGCAGAATTTCATGCTATTGCTGCTGAATGAGACATTCTTATTTGTTTTGCCTGTTTTTGTTTTTGTGTCAACAGTATGAATTATATGAATTTCCTATAGTGCAAGAGAACACTCCAAAGAAAAGAGCCAAAAAAAATCTATTAAAACCATTTCCATTATGCATCACCTTTATCTTTAACCTACACACTTTGGCTTGAGGCGAGTGGTAGGTGTGTAAACAAGTTGTAATAAATTGGGATAGAATAATTAACCTCTTAAAATCCTGGGCTTATTACATGCTAAGGCTTATTATCCAGTAACTACGGGGGCTTCAGTGCAAATTGGCTGAGCTATTCTTAGATTATAGAACTGTAAAAAAAAAACTTGGGGTCAGCATGTGGGACCCTGGCCATTTAAGGGGATAAAGAATGCCTAAAATCATAAAAAATGTATAATAACAAAGAATAATAAATTGGAATGTATTTTATTTACTATTGTTAGGCTTAGGAAACCACTAAAACCTCAACAGTCACTAAGAATGTGAAGATTTTTAAATATGCACAATTATGCAAACTGTAAACACCTGCTTGTCTCCCAGGTTCCAAACCCCACCCCACCTCCACCCCCCTCACTACCTTATGTACTATGCATTTACCTATGGTCAGTAGGGACTATAGCCCTCTATGTTTGACAGGTTAAGCAGATGAGATGGAGCTCAGGAGAAACCAGGTAAAGCTCCTAATGTAACATTAATAATAAACTAGTGATATTCTATTCATCTCTTAATTAGTGCTGTCAAAAATAATTTGAATTTCAAATATTCATCAAATTCAATGACAAAAGTACATTTGAATTTTTTAAAGGTTTACTGCGGATCCTAATGTAACATTATCACAAATGGTCACTACCAGCCAGAAGGAAGAGGGTGTCAGCGGGATATCACTGCCGTGGGATTTTATGGATAAGTTATGATCAAACAGTGGGCCTATTTTTGTCAGCCATTTTGTGAGTCACCTCCTGGTTGGGAATAACTGTTTTAAACTATGTATGCTTTTTGGGATACTTGATAGCGCATACTGAGCGCCTCATTTGTGAATTTAGCGGACATAACATTAGCAGCACCTGCCAATCTGTACGCATTTTTTGTAGCAGATACACATTTTGACATCGAAGTACACTGGTACGATCTGTCTCTACGCAAAAAATCTGGTGACGCCCTTTGAGTTCAATTGTGCGTGTGCAGTACTCAAATCTAATAGCAAGAGGCAGCAGCATCTAGCTCTCCGAAAAACCAAAGGAGAAAAAGAAGAGTTCGACTAATCATAGTGCTGGATTCGTTCTGAAATATCAAGAGGGGATGCGTAATGTCAGTCATTTCAAGAGGCTGCAAATCGACAGCAACATGAATTGGTTTTCATCCCTCTTGTTCACACTTCTTACTCCGTGTGGCTAGTTCTGCAAGGGAAGCAAACATTGCTTTTAACTCCTTTGCAAAGGTCATTCAGCTGGGGTGGATGTAGAAAGTTAAAAGTTAATGCACACCTACCAACCTTGGGAAAATGTTTAACGTCAGTAATGTTAGCCTAAAGTTACATAATTTGCAAGCTAACTTGCTTGTTTACCATGATTTAGGTTGGCAGTCTAGCATTTTTTGCCTTTTTTTTTTCCTCTTTTTTTTAGCAGTGAACTGTTATGCTAGGCAAAATATTTTCCCAAAGTTGGCAGGTGTACATAAGGTCACTCCTTTATGTCCTTGTCTTTATCCTCTAAACCTGTGTTATTGAAGCTTCAGTGAGCCAGAATTAAACCTGCTGTGGTGTGTGAAACTGTAGCATGATCTGCTACTGCTGCCTACCCACTAGGACAACTCTACTCACCATATTTGACAGTTTATTAGATAAAAGTGGAACGTAAATATGATACTGTCATATTTTTGAAATACCATCATCACTTACCTGTTTTAGCTGACGGCTAACTGCACAGTTGAAACATTTCAAACATTAAGTTAGCTACGTTAGCGTAGGCGTGTCGAGTTTTCTGTCAACACATCGTAATCCTCTCATTAGCATATTTTAGTATATTGGACTGCAATAGGTTTCAAGCTTATTTGTGAAGTACAGAGCTAAGCTGTTTATAGCGTCCTACAGAAAACTATTTTCTCTAAGTCCTGAGAAAGGCTGTGCTTTCAGTGGAACAGTACGAACTTTGTGCTTTGGTAATACATTTGACACAAACACCAACCTATATAAGCAGACTAAGCCATCCAAGAGGAGATGTTTTTGAGCGCAGGGGGTCTTTAACATAATAGAATGCATGCAGTAGCTATTAAGCATCCACAGGCATATCATAATGAAGCTTTACATATTATTACAAAGCATGGCAGAATGCGGTTCCTCTGAGAAAGCCCATTAGAATATGTAGAGCATATATATGAAATATATCATAGTGATTTGACATAACATCATCTTCTGTATAACAAAGGATCTTCTTCCTCTAGGTTATCTCAGATTCTCAAGCTCTGGGGATTTCATTAAGGTATTCAGTGTAGTACTAGCTTTTGCTGCTCAAGGATAAGTTGGCAAAATGACTGGCAGAATGCAAGTGGTGCTTTTACTCTTATAATTGGTTTTATGACCCCGTGATTGAGAGGTGAGCTTTACTTTTCTTTAATGCAGTGGAAACTTTTTTCCCCCCTTCTGTTTCCCTTTCTCCCAAATAAATGAAAATGGTTAAAAAACTAGGT